CCCCTACCTAAGCCTCCCTGTTCCTTATCCCCTAACTGCTCCCTCCTGGGACCCCCCACCCTAACTGCCCCCCAGGACCCTACCCCCTACCTGTACCCTGACTGCCCAAAACCTTCTCCACCCCCCCTCAAAAAGCCCCCCCCAAACTCCCGCCCCCCCCCCCGTCTCTTGACTGCCCCCTCCAAAATCTCCCTGCCCCTTCTCCGACCCCCTGGCCCCCTTACCCTGCCGCTCAGAACATGGTGTTGGGCTCTGTGCGGAGCCGGACACGTGGCTGCGCTCCCCAGCGCATCACACAACCCGGTCCCTGCCCCCCGCACAGTGCTGCCGGAGCGAGGGAGCAGGGGAGAAGGAGAACTGGGGGGAGGAGGAGCTGCCAAGGCCCGATGCAAACGGCCCGGCAGGCCGGCCGGCTCAGAATGCAGGGAGGGAGGGGGGGGAGGAGGAGCTCTACAGCTGCTCCGGAGTCCAGCCCGGCAAGCTGCGGGGGAAGGGCTCTGGCTGCCAGAGCCCCATGCGAGCGGCTGAATTTCCTGCAGCCCTCCCAGCCGCGCCTCGCTCTGCCTGGGGGGGAAATCCCGGACATTTTTAGTGATTTACAAATTCCCCCCCGGACGCTATTTTTAACACAAAAAGCAGGACATGTCCGGGTAAATCCGGACGAATGGTAACCCTACCCATCACCAGCCATTGTCCAGCAAGGGAGCTACAATGCGATGACTCACCTGCATGTCACCACACCAGGGGAATTGCTCAACCTTGCACAGTTGCCAACTTTCGCCCGGTAAATAAGCACCTCGACTTTCACAATAAGCCAAAAACCAAGCGAATCCCATTTCAAAACAAGCCAATCCCTAAGAACCCCAACACTCCATGGGACTAGATCCCTCCGGCGTGCAGTCTGGGACTGTAGTGGGCCTGCTCTGCACCCCTGACTCTCTCCCCCACTTGCCCCCCCCTTTGCCGGGAGCTAATAAAACAAAGGAAGCAACAAGTTACAACGAGCAACAAGCTACAAGCCCAAAACTAGCCAACAAGCAACTCACAAGCCAATTAAGCCAAAAACAAGACCAATTTATGCGTTTTTTTCACGGGTTTGGCATGTCTGCAACCTTGCTGGGTGACTCAGCAATGCCCCCAGACACGCCTGGACTTGTGCTCCTCAAACACATGGACTGAAGGTATAAAACAGGCAGAGTGGACACATACTGGACCTTCTCCTGCCCCCACCTACGCTGCAAGCAACCAAGACACTGAGAAGAAGACTGAAGACTCCAACACAGGAGACTGGCCCAGGTTTAAGGAACAAACCTGTATGTTAAGGACTGCAACATCCAGTGGGGTGAGAAAAACTGCTTAGTCTAGGTCAGGGGTAGGCAACCTATGGCATGCGTGCCGAAGGCAGCACGCGAGCTGATTTTCAGTGGCACTCACACTGCCCGGGTCCTGGCCACCGGTCCAGGGGGGCTCTGCATTTTAATTTAATTTTAAATGAAGCTTCTTAAACATTTTAGAAACCTTATTTACTTTTCATACAACAATAGTTTAGTTATATATTATAGACCTATGGAAAGAGACCTTCTAAAAACATTAAAATGTATTACTGGCACGCGAAATTAGAGTGAGTAAATGAATACTCGGCACACCACTTCTGAAAGGTTGCCGACCCCTGGTCTAGGTGCTGCCCAGTCTAATAGGGTTGAGAGTTTAGACTGCGTGCTTAGATTTTATTTCTTTTGGTAACTAACTCTGACTTTTTGCCTGTCACTTAATATCACTTACAATCTACCTGTTATAGTCAAGACATTTGTTTAATTGTTTATCTTTACCTGTGAGTTTGTATGAAGTGTGTGGCAAATCTGCTCAGGTTTGCCAAAGGCTGGTGTCTGTCCACTTTCCATTGATGAAGTGGTGACGGTATATTCCTGGGGTACAGTGCTGGGAGCTGAGGGAATTTGGCTCTGGTGCCTTTCTCTGGGTGATTCATGAGTGGCTCTTGGAGCATTCATGCAATCCAGCTGGGTGTGGGGTCTCCACATGTGGTTGTGCTGAGTGATCACAGCGCCTGGAGGGGTTTGCTGCTGGTCACTAGCCAGGCACTGTGAGAGAGAGCCCAGGCTGGGGAGAGTTCAGGGGGCACAGCGGTCCCACAGTTCCAGGCTGCACGCTGGGGAGCCCGCTACAGAGGCGCAGTGAGCAGCGTAAAATACACAGCTTGTTGTACTGAGCAAGATTTACACTTCATACACTCGTGTAAAGATTTTAAGTGTAGTGGCTAAGGAGAGTCAGGAGGAGGCTACCGGTTTGTTATTTTCTGTTTGCTTATTTCGGGAAAGGGAAGTAGGGACAGAAAAGCAGGAACATGAGTGAAAGCAGTGAAGTGATTGCGAAGTTGGAGCTTTTTAGGCTGCAGGTTGCAGAAAAGGACAGGGAGCACCAGAGAATATTGCTACTAAAGAAACTGGCCAGGGAGGAGAAGGAAGGAGAGTGGGAGGAAGGAGAGAGAGAGAGAAAATGCAAACTGGACTTGCTAGAGAAGTAGAACCAGAAACCACCAACCCCAACCATTCCCATCGCTCCAAAAATCCACAACTGGGAACACCTATGGCCTGCACACAATAAGACCAGCTCCTGCACTGCAGCTGGAGGCAACACCACATCGGGAAGGGATGGGGGTGTAATGCCGGCCAGGGAGAGAACTGTCCAGGTTGTTAGCTGCCAGCAGGTCACAGCTGAACCAGAGATATACCTGGCTCTAGGGAGCAGAAAGCAGGTCCCAGAGGAGAGCCCAGAGAAGAGCCAGGGAATCTCAGAAACCACTGAGGTGGGTGAGGATTCCTGTGACTCTGTAACACAGGGAAGCAGGGTGCTTCCAAGTGTGGGAGGGGCTGAGACTAGCTCCTTTCCAGCAGAAGGCAACATGCCCTCAGGCGCAGGGGCAGGAGAGGGGTTGTCAGGGATTAAGGAAACTGTCCCAGTTGTTAGCTGGCAGAGTTCTGCAGAAGAACAAGAGACAGACCCCTCCCTAGGGAGCACAGAGAAATGTGTTTTAGAGGGGGGCCCAGAGGAGGAAACTGGGGAAGGAATAGTGGGGGTACAGGAATGTCTCTGCACTGGTCACTTGGGGCAGGATGCCCAGGACACTAGGAGGATGGCTGGGTCAGCATCTGTGCACCCAGGCACTCAGCCCATGACCCAGGTTTTTAGAGGGAACTGTGTGACTGACTTCCTGGAGGGGAGCAGTCATACAGCTGACTTCCCAGGGACAGAGAAAGGGGTGGCGGAGGTACCCGAATCCAGGTCCCAGTTTTTCAGGATGCTATTTCTGAAAAGTTTTTGGAAAGTAACGGTGTCTCTTTACATCAAGATGTAGCTCCAACGCCTGTGACAGCAGAGGAGTTGAGATCAGAAAATTGCCAGGTGGTGGTTTGTGAGAATGCAAATGACCCAATGGGCAGAGAGGGGGGTGTTTTTCCCCAGGCTGGTGAGACACAGGGAGCAGTTATAAGAGAGCTGCTGGGAAAAGGTGCATCTAATCAAAGGGTAAACAGAGCACAGATCACAGCCCTCTAGGGGGCAGGGAAGGACTCAGTGCTGGGAGGGGGAAACACCAGGTAACCCCAAAAAGGGAACTGGATTTTCTGCATATGTACAGTCCTGGGGTTGGGGGACCGCTCCCCAAGGAGCCAGCCAATGTGCAGGATCCCCCTGAACACCCATCTTGCCAGACCCTGAGGCACCAAAATTCCAGAAACATGATTAAATTAAGAACCCAGGCAGAGGGGAACACTGGAGGGAAAGAAAAGTCAGTGACTGATTCCACGAGAAAGAGTCAAATGACACCCCGGGGTTCCTGTTCTCTAAGCCATGTATCCACCAGGAACACACACGACCTCGGATCCTGGTGGGGAAAGAACCAGACTCACAGGATCACCAATGATGTGACCTTTGGAGGGAAGCTTTGCCCTTCTGTACTTTCCTAGGTACACTGGGATTGCCAGACGGGATCAGGCCCCATCTAGCCCCATGTCCCACAAGGGCCACCACCAACTGCTTCAGCAGAAGGTGCAAAAACCTCACAATAGCAGATGTGGGATAATCTGCCCCCATGATGGTCTCTTTCTCACCCTGGAAAGTTAGTAGCTAAACCCTGACGCTTGGGAGGTTTTATCTCCCTTCCAAAAAGTGATAGCATTAACTATTACAGAGCTTTATTTTGTCACTCCCCATCTACATTTCCTCTGAATGAGGTCAAAGGTTCTGTCTCAGATGTCCCTGGTAGCAGAGGCTACAGAGCTTCTCCGGGGTGCATTGGTGGGGAGGGACCAGGGATGGTTGCGATGTGATCAGCGTAAGTGGGTGAGATCTGTTCCAACCTCTTTCCGATATTCTCCCGGCACCAAGAGGACAGATTCTGGGGCCCTGCCTTTCTCACGGCTCCAGGACGTGTTTTGTTGTCAAGTGCAATTCTGCTCTGAGCCGTGACAGTAAGAACTGCACGGGGAGTTTATTATGGTTCCTATCTCAAATGGGCTCAGGGGCCAAGTGAACGTGTGTTTCTGTCTAACTGCCAATCCCTGCAATTGGAGGAGAAAGCCGCGGGCTCCTGGAAGAGCCACTGGGAGCTCCCAGGGCAACCACAGCTCATACGGGGCCGGCTGGGATGCTCACACAGCATCACAATTCATAGATGATGTGCAGCTTCCCTTCCGCTGGAACTGCTTCCTGAGAAGCTCTGCTCCCCTTCCCCGTTCACTGTTAGGCCATGGCTGGCCTGGGGTGTTGGGGTCACACCCTCAATCATGGCTAGTTACCTCCACCCTGGCAACAGCCTCTGCAGGGATCTCCTCTATTTCCTGCTGGGGGGTCCTATCCATGCTGGTGTTTAATTCCACTAGAATCCGACCTCGATAGGCCACCCCTTCCTCCTGGAAGACAAATGGGTCCGGAGAAGAGGGGCAGGAAGGGGATAGAAGAGCGAGGGAATGGGAGACCCTGGAAGAGGGGTAAGAGAAGAGAGGGAGGAGCACGGAGAAGCTTTCCCCACTCTTTTTCCAGGCCTGACATCAAGCGCAAGCAGCCCAAACAACTGTCTGAGCCCCTCGCCGCAATGTTTACGGGCTCCATGCAGGCTCTGCAGCTCCTGGGACAACTCAGGGCAGTAAGAGGCAACTTATGGGCCGTGCAGGAGGAGAAAGGTCTCTGCCAGATTTCTTCCTGTGCAGATTGCCCCCCACAAACCCAGGTCTGTCCCTGCTCCTCCAGATCCCTTCTCCTCCCCTCCTAACTTCCCCTTCAACAACAGCCAGAGGTCACTCACGCTGACGATGCAGGCTGGGAGCACTGCTTAGTGCTGGAAGTGGCCTGCTACCCCAGGAGCGACCATGCCTCTGTGCGTTGGGCTCAGAGGGGAAGGCAGACAGACACTGTGTGTTTGGGGAGATGGGCTGTCACGTACTGGTCACCCTCTCTCATCCTCCCTGTACAATTCACCCATCTCTGGAGCAGCTTGGGGAACTGTAGGGTGCTCCCGTCAGTGAGGGGCCAGAGTCAACCCAGTGCTGTGGTGGGAATGTCAGATGCCATGCTACGAGCCTAGTGGCACGGACTCATGGCAACCCAGGTCTTGGGAGTCATGAGGACCTCGCCCCCAGGACATGCTCTCCCTGGGATCCGGGCCATGAACAGAAGGGAGATACTTACGCTCCCAGAGTTGAGTTTCTCATATGGGTCGTGGAGGCTGGTGAATTCCCTGGGGCTCCCATAGAGGGTCAGGAAGCTGGGTCCAAAGCATGGCAGGAACCCGGAGAAATCCCCTGGAACCAAGAGAGGAACCTGAGAGGACGAAAGGGCCCAGAATGAAGCCAGCTCTCGGTGAGCAGTCAGAGCCCCTTACCTTCTATCTCAGCCCCCGTGGAGGACACCTGGGACAGGCTGATGTAGGTGGTCCCAAGGACGTCCCTCTTTCCTGCTCGGTCCCTGGAAATGCAGAGCAGACAGCAAAGGGCCTTTCTGTGTCATTGGAGCAGGGTGGGGGTGCTGCTGAGCAAAAGGTCCACCAAGCCCTGGGGTCTACGGACACTGGCTTCTGCCAGCCCAGTCAAGGGGCTCCTCGGCCTGGGATCAGGGTATTTAAAACTTGGCCAAAGCTCTGGTCAACCCCTGCACTGCTGCGGCCCAAGGGAACTGTCTGCTGTAAGGATCGTCAGGGCAGGAGCCAGAGCTTCCTTTGGGGCCAGTTGCAGAATGAACTCCCCCAGAACTAAGGACCATCCAGAACCTCCCCCTTCCCTGACCTGCCTTCTCTAACGTAACACAGAGCAACATGTCTATTTATTAACCCCTTGCAGGTCCCTTCCCTTCCACCCACCACAGTGTCCCTGCTGGCTCTTCCCTCATCCCACTGGCCAGCCTCACCCTCAGCTACTCCCCTTCCTCTGGGGGTAACGCCAGGATTGCCGGCTCCAGGCAGGGACTGTCCAAAGTGCTGCTTACCCGTTCAGCACGGTGAGCTTGATCTTATCACACACGGCCGGTAACTGCAATGGGAAGGTGGCAGGTTAGAAGGGCATACGTCCCAGGGGCCAGCCCCAGTGAGACATTAAATGACACAGCAAGGCTCTTCCTTCCCACGGTTCACACGGCAGGGCTGCCCTGCCTGTTGGCATGCTAGGAAGGATGCTGCCGTGTGGACTGGTGACAAAGCCATTGGATGCCCCATCTGGCTCTTCAGCGGTGGGAGCTGGGCATGGTCAGTGGACGGAGAAGCTGAAGCAATGTCTAGGGGGAGCAGAGGGAGGCAACCGTTATGGGGAACTCCCCCTCTTGAAGGGGTAGTAGCTCCACAGAGCAGGTGCCTTCCTTCCTTCCCCTCCCTACAGACAGGGCTTCCAGCCTCTTCCTCTGCTGCAGCGCTGGCTCCACTCCAGCAATCCTTATGTTCCTGTGAGGAAGTGGGGATTTTCCCTTCTTATGCTGTATGTGAGTCTTACTGTTTTGCTTGAACGCTGTGTGCGCCTCCGTTTCCCTGTGTGTCGCACCAGTGTCTAGGTGGTGGGAATAAGCATGGGTGACCTTTGTGGGGGATGCTCCAGTTCCCTGCATAGATGCTATGGCCGCCCCTTCGTAACCTGAGACCCAGGAGGGGGACGTGACCAGGTGACTCTTGGCCCGGGAAGCGAGACAAAGGCTGGAGGAGGAGCAACGGGCAGGGCAGGGGCCAGGCAGCTGGAAGTGAGAGAGTTTGGAGCTGGTTGGGGAGACGGGGGAGGACCAGACCTGCGTCCGCGCTCCCCACCCCCCAAGATGGACCTGACTGAGGGGTCCTGTTTTCTGTACCTAGAAGCTCTGATTTGGACTGTGTTCCTGTCATCTAATAAACCTTCTGTTTTACGCTGGCTGAGAGTCACGTCTGACTACAGAGGTGGGGTGCAGGGCCCTCTGGCTGCCCCAGGAGCCCCACCCGGGCAGACTCACTGTGGGAAGCACACGGTGGGGCTCAGGATGCTGAATGCTCCGAGGTCAGACCCAGGAAGGTGGAAGCTGTGGAAGCTTCTTGCCCTGGAGATAGTCTGCTCACAGAGAGGAGACTTTCCCAGAATCCTGACTGGCTTCGTAGGGAGCAGTTCCAGAGCATCGCCCGGTGACTCTGTGACAGTTCCCAGAGTCAGGAACATGTGCAGGGGAGAAACCCAGCCCCCACAAGAGGGAAAGGACATGACCTTCCACAAGCTCTGTGTGTCACTTCTCCTGCCCCCCGTCAATACTCCTGGGACTCTGTGCTGCAAATGCCGGCTCTCCCAGGGAGAGACTCTATTAGGGTGTCTATGGCAAGAACTCCCTTGATCCTCTTTCAGGAAAAGAGAATTTGGGTAATACGTGGGAGAAAGAAGGGATGCAGGGCAGATGTTCAATGCAGATTGTTGGGGCTCTGACAACATCCCCTTCCTACCGAGTCATCCATCTCACCTGGGCAGGAAAGAACAGCACCTGGTTCCACTCCGGGTTGGCATTTCTTGGCATCACTCTGGTGCAGCGCTGAGAACATTAAATGACACTATTAGAAACCAGAGGTCAACACCTCTCCTTCCAGCTACACCCTCTGCAGGTCAATCACTTCCTTCACCTACCTTAGTTCCCCATATTTTCCCCCAGCAAACAAGAGTTTGCTCTCCAGGCAACACTGCAGAGTCTTAGATGAGGTTCGGTACTGTCCCATGCACCGTTAGCACCATCACCAGTTGCCTTCCCATCGTGGGATCATCAGGACTGGCTGGTATGAGTTTGCCAGGCCTCAGAGTGCCTGTGCCTATGTTTCTCCAGCAGGGAGGTTACAAGTGAGAATCACACCAGAGACAGAAGCTGCATTTTCTACCTTCCCTGTTCTTTTCTCACCCCTTTTGTGTGTGTTTTTCTTGGTGTGTCTTCTTAAGAAACAGGATCAGCCTTTAACAACAGCAGCAGCAAGGACAGCTCCAACCCATCTCAACTAGCTCCTTCTCTTTTCTCCCAAAAGGACACTTATTACCATCTGAGAGACTGTCAAACAACGGTGCTTTTCCTTCGAAAACTGACTTCAACAACAACAGTGACATCTCCAGCCTATCTCAACTAACTCTGGGCTTGTCTTCAAGCATAGCACTACAGCGGCACCCTGTAGCGGTTTAATGAAGACGCTACTATGCGGATGGGAGAGCTTCTCCCAAGGGTGTAGTTAATCTCGTCCTTGAGAGGCGTAGCGCTGTCTACACGAGGGGCGAGGTCGGTGTAATTACATTGCTCAGGGGTGTGGATTTTTCACACCCCTGAGCGACGCTGTTATACCGATACAGGTCTGTAGTATAGCCCAGAGACAATTTTGGACTTTGACCAACAGCAGCAACAACAACTCCAGCTCATCTCAACTACTTTCTTCTCTTTTACTCCTCCCCCCACAAAGCCCCCAAAACAGTTATTACCATCTTTAAAACCATTTAAGAGACTGTTTGCAGTGATGTTATAACTGTGTCGGTCACAGGATATTAGAGAAACTAGGTGGGTGAGGTCATATCTTTCATTGGCCCAACTTCCGATGGTGAAAGAGACAAGCTTTCAAGCTTAGACAGAGCTCCTCTTCAGTACAGAAGAGCTCTGTGCAGCTTGAAAGCTTGTCTCTTTCACCAACAGAAGTTGGGCCAATGAAATATATCACCTCCCCCACCTTGACTCTTTAAGAGACCATCAGACAAGATGGATTTTCCTTCTAAAAACTTTCTCCAGTTAAAGGGAAAGGGAACAAGGATTGTTGTTAAAATTAAAGCCTTACTTAATACTTTATATTTCAGATGCTTTAATTGTGTTTCCTTCTCTTCTGTATCTTTAATAAAAAGTTAAAAGAATTTGTAATCGTGTGTTTGCCAGGCTGAGGTCTCTGTGTACCAAACCTTGGACCTTGTTTAACACTGCTTAATGTTGGACAGTGACTGGCTTATATTAACACCTTTGGCCTATGTATTCCATCCAAATTAATACAACAGGGCCCAGTTTGACTCTCAGCCCTCAGGGATGGAAGTTGCTTGGCTGTGCTGCTGCAAACAAATCTTGCTTGGACTCGAATAGAGCAAGTTCGCTCTGGAAACTGCCGCAGGATAATAACTACCAGCCTGGCCGTGGTAACAGGAGTGAACTGGGTGACTCTAGAGCACTCATGTGTTACTATACTAATGGGATGGGGATTCAGTCCATGGTGTTGTGTAGAAATTCCTACTGCCAGGCTTACTCTACGTGTGTATTCACGTCTGCTAGATGGCACTGCGTCATCTGTAATGAACAGGCTAGCGTGTGGATGCAATCCGTCCTGCTCAGCTGTGTGTAACAGGCTGTATACTGCACTCCCAACAGCTAATGGGGATTCTCCTTTAGCTCTGGGGGGGGGGGATCTGAATTCTATCGCCTCTGTTGCCATGGCATTTTTAGGGGCCACATATCTGTTACTACACTCATGTGTTAGTGTTTAGAGTACAAGACTGGCTGTTGGTGAGGAGACTGACGTTGCCTGGTGCTGTAAACACACCCCTCTCCCAAGAGGTCACTTTTCTGAGCAGAGCTGCATGTTACCTACCGTTTTCCCTGCAAAACTAACTTCCACAGAAGGGTCAGCGCAGATCCTTTTGTCGACATGCATCTGGAACATGGACCTAAAGTAATGCAGGCAAGAGTCCTCCACTGGAGAGGGAAGAGAGATGCGTTCGTGTCAGATAGCTCTTGGCTGGCACAGTTTACTCCCGCTGACCGTCTGTGCTTCAGTGGGAAACCCAAAACCTCCCCTCGGCTGAGGGTAACGAGGGTCTGAAAGGGCAGAGGAAGCTGGTGACATTGGAAAGCAGGCAGGCAACATGGCAGGCCACCCTACAATAGTGGGCAAAGATCCTAATGTATTTGGGAGGGATAGCTCAGTGGTTTGAGCATTGGCCTGCTAAACCTAGGGTTGTGAGTTCAATCCTTGAGGGGGCCATTTAGGGAACTGGGGTAAAATCAGTCTGGGGATTGGTCCTGCTTTGAGCAGGGGGTTGGACTAGATGACCTCCTGAGGTCCCTTCCAACCCTGATATTCTATATTTGTATGATTTGTCTCCAGCCTCTCTAGGAGCTGTCACTGCAGAGGGGTGAGCAACAGGGACTGTCAAACCCTTGTGCTTCCTGTGTTCTGGTAGCAGCCATAAGTGTGCTAGGTGCTGTACAAACATCAGAAGGCCCAGTCCCCACCCAAGGAGCTGAAATGACTGAGGAACAGTCCCTGGAGTCCTGGCTCCCATCCCCCTGGTCTGACTACCAGGCCATGGAGGGGTATCCTCTGCACTATATGACACATACTTTGGGGCATATCCTCAGCTCTGTATACGCGGAGCTGAAAGGTGGCCATGCATACGGGCATCGCTGCTGGCTTGAGAAGGTTGGACTCTACGTCCTCGCTCTCCGCAGGCTTGTCCAGCTCCTGAGAGGAGAGAAGAGTGCTGAGAATGTATACAGGCACAGAACAACTGCAAGACAGTCCCACCAGCAGAGCACTGGTAAGAACCAGAGGATGGGGTGTGGTGTGTCTGAGACCAGGTGTTTCACTGCTCTAGAGAGAGCCAAAGGCACGTGGTGAGCAGGTTACTTTGCAGCCTGTGCGGTGTTAGGGTCAGATCCAGATGCCTCTGGAGCAATGAGGGCTCTGCCAGGTGCTCCAGTGGGAGGAAGATTGGGCCCTTGTGCTGCAACCAGGAGTCATTTTAGGGCTGTGTATGAATGGTGGCCTGCAGGGGCCAGAGAGAACGGCCTGTGGATGGGCAGAGCATGAAGCCAGGTATGGAAGTGTGAGAGTGCAGATGCTAACCATGAGTTGTGCCAGGGCCTGATCTGCAGAGACGCTGAGCACCCACAGCTGCCTTGACCTGCAGTGGGAGCTCAGCACTTCTGACAACGCAGGGCTCTTCTGCTGAATCACCCTCAACTCGTGTTCAAACCCTGCACTGAGATTCAGGCTAATCACTGCTGAGTCTTGCTGGTAGGTGGGTTCACTGAGTTCCAACAAGGGCCTGAAGCATGGGCGGCTGTTGGGGGACCCGGCTGCTAGAGGAGGCTAACCCCCGGCCCCTCCCCTTGTGCCCAAGGCCCTGCCCCTCCCCATCTGCCCCCCTTCTGTTCCCTCTCCCCCGCAGGAGCCCAGAGCACCCCCACTGTGGCCCCTGGCCCCAGTGCCGGGTGGCCAGGGGGCGAGGGCCCAGCCCTGGTGCGCCAGGCAGCACTCCCGGCCCCCCGTGCTCTGAGTGGTGCCACCCCAGCACCAGCCGCCCTGACTCCCTGCAGGAGGCAGGCCAGACAGCCTGGGCCAGCCATGGCAGAGCGCTCTGGGAACCGCAGGAGGGGGCCTGGCCTGGGGGCGGAGTGTGGGCAGGGTCACACTAGGCTGTTTGGGAAGGCACCGCCTCCCCCTGCCTATGTTACTCGCCGCCCATGGCCTGAAGTGGGTCCCGGAGGGAAGCCTTGGAACAGCCAAGTGCAGGTGTAGGCTGTGTTCGTGTTTCGCAGATATCAGGAAACCCAAGACCTTGGGATGGAGCTGCGGTGGTTTGGGCAGTGACTCAGGATGGGGCAGGAACTCAGCGGGATCACTGCCGGTATCATGTCCCTTTCACAGGCGGTGTTTACCAGTGCCTGGTCCCCGGCTCCAAGCACACAAAGGCTGACTTTCAAGTAGCCTCTCAAGCCAGCATTCAGATGAGTCGGGTGGTAAAGGCTGAGCCATTTCCAGCTGAGAGCATGACCTGGGAGAGAAGGACGGCAGGGTCTGCGATTTGTGCAACTCACTGTATTCCTCCCACCCCGCACTCAGCTTTTATACAGTCACAGGGACCATCATGATCCAGAGAAGCTGGATGAGAGTCAACAGTGTGCCCTTGTTCCCAAGAAGGCTAACAACCTATTGGGCTGCAGTAGTAGGAGCATTGCCAGCAGATCGAGGGAAGTGATTATTCCCCTCTGTTCGGCACTGGTGAGGCCTCATCTGGAGTATTGTGTCCAGTTTTGTGCCCCCCACTACAGAAAGGATGTGAACAAATTGGAGAGAGTCCAGTGGAGGGCAATGAAAATGATCAAGGGGCTGGAACACATGACTTATGAGGAGAGGCTGAGGGAACTAGGGTTATTTACTCTGCAGAAGAGAAGAGTGAGGCGGGATTTGATAGCACCCGTCAACTACCTGAAGAGGGGTATGATCTTTCACTCCATATTCTTTATGAAAATATGCTTATGATATGAACATGTCATAACTGAGATGTACTTTATGCAAGATGGGTCATGTAGGATATCACTGGAATTTAGCTGTATGCATTGGAAAGATTATAATTTACTGAATGCGATTACCCTATTTGTGTGCCTGTATCATTTCTGTATCTGAAGTTAGTAATAGTGACTATGGGTACGTCCACACTACCCGCCGGATTGGCGGGTAGCGATCTATCTATCGGGGATCGGTTTATCGCGTCTCGTCTAGACGCAATAAATCAATCCCCGAACGCGTTCCCCGTCGACACCGGAACTCCACCAGGGCGAGAGGCGGTAGCAGAGTCGACGGGGGAGCCGCGGCCGTCGATCCCGCGCCGGGAGGACTGGAGGTAAGTCGATCTAAGATACGTCGACTTCAGCTACACTATTCTCGTAGCTGAAGTTGCGTATCTTAGATCGACTCCCCCCCAGTGTAGACCAGGCCTATGTATCTGTAGTTGATAACATGTATCAACTATGTTATTTTGGATGACGCCCCCTGCTAACACTTTAGGTACAACAATGGAAAAGCCAGACAGGGCGGATGGCCCATCAGCGAGGACAATGGGCTGTGAAAAGTTTTGGCCTTCCTGCAGACCCTCCATACTGCCCCTGACTCATGGACGCTGTGATACTACAGAGTCAGGTGGTCTTGTCACCTGATACTAAACATTACCTGGGACTTCTCATAACTTTCCACAGGAAGGAAAGGGAAGGGTGGGAGGAAGGCAAATGGGACTCCTCCTCTCCATGGCCTGTCTGCCCAAGAAGAAAGACTGCAAACACCACCTGAAGGGGAGCCCAGACTGAGACGGGGTCCAGTCTGAAAAGGAATATAACTGGAACTCTGAACCACAGAAACTTTGCAACTTGCCTAAAATAATATTTAGGGTGAGAATTTACATTTTGTAACCTGTTTCTTAAGTCTATTGAGCTTAGCTTGCGTACTTTGTTTTATTTGCTCAGTAATCTGCTTTGTTCTGTCTGTTATCTCTTATATTCACTTAAAATTCACCTTTTGTAGTTAATACACTTATTTCTTGTTTATAATATAACCCAATTTATGTAATTTCTAACTGGGGGTCGGGGGAAAGACGTTGTGCATATCTCCCTCCACACTGAGGGAGGGGGCGAATTTCATAAAACCTTTGGGTTTGTCCCCCTTAAAGGGAGTGGGCACCAGAGTGTTGGGGGAGCCCCTAAGGCTGAATCTTCCCAGAGCGGGTCTCTGTCTCTGTGCAGCTGGGTGTGGCCCTGTCCGTGTGCTTGGCTGGAAGAGGCTTGTGAGCCTAGCCCAGCAAGACAGGGTAAAGGGGACCCAGGCTGGCAGAATAGGCTGACTCAGTGGCACCCCAGCACATCAAGTGACACCCCAAAGGGCCCAAACCCATCACAGGGGGTTACAAAGAGGATGGAGCTCGGCTGTTCTCAGTGGTGGCAGATGACAGAACAAGGAGCAATGGTCTCAAGTTGCAGTGGGGGGGGTTAGGTTGGATATTAGGAAACACTATTTCACTAGGAGAGTGGTGAAGCACTGGAATGGGTTACCTAGGGAGGTGGTGGAATCTCCTTTCTTAGAGGTTTTTAAGGTCGGGCTTGACAAAGCCCTGGCTGGGATGATTTAGTTGGTGTTGGTCCTGCTTTGAGCAGGGGGTTGGACTAGATGACCTGAGGTCCCTTCCAACCCTGATATTCTATGATTCTATGGTCTTGTCTGACCCCCTGGAGAGTACAGGCAGAAACCTGCCCCACAATAATTCCTGCAGCAGATCTTTTAGAAAAACATCCAATCTTGGTTTAAAAATAGTCAGTCATGGAGAATCCATCACGACCCTTGGTAAATTGTAACTGTTAATTACTCTCTCCATTAAAAAATGACACCTTATTTCCAGTCAATTTGTCTAGCTTCAACTCCCAGCCATTGGGTCATGTTAGACCTTCCTCTGCTAGACTGAAGAGCCCATTATCAGATCTTTGTTCCTGTAACAGGGTGCTGGCTAAGAAAATCTGAGCCAGGCTCTGTCACGCCAGCTCCAATCAAGAAAGGGGAATTGGAGCTGGCTGGCTAAGTCCAGGCCTGATTGGCAAACAGGGAACAGCTGCCGGCCTCGTTAGCCAGGGGCTACATGAAGGCTGGCAAGAAAGAAGCCAAGGGGGAAAGAAGGAAAGGGAGTGGGAACTCTCCTCTCCTGGCTGCAGGAGCTAGCAGTCCCTGAGGCTGTAATGCTGAGGCTGTTTGTAGCTAGAAGGTGGTGGGAAAGTATACTGGAAATAAAGAGCACGTGTGATTGCACCAGTGCAGAGGTCTCTGGCTGGTTTGTGGGTGCAGCAAGGGGCAGAAGTGAGGAGGGCCCAGTGGCACCTTGCCACAGTTCCCCATGTAGATACTTATAGGCTGTTATCAAGTCACACCCTTAACCTTCTTTTTGTTAAACTGAATAGATTGAGCTCCTTGAATTTATGATTATAAGGGGTGTTTTCTAATCTTGTGATGCCGTGTCCACCCCATATAGGACTGGAAGGGGCTATGGCCAGGCAGGCCTATTAACTCCACAGGCTGCACCTGAAGGAAGAACCAGGGAGCAGGGAATTGATTGCAAGAAGGTTCAGCTGGGCAGGAATAGGGGGTCTCTAAAGTCAGGAAGCTGGCAACAGAAGGGGGCTGCTGCTGGGAAAGGGCAGTCACTCCCGGGGAAGAGGGAGGGAGGAAGGTTTGGAACTGGTACACACACAGCAAGGAGAGGAACCAGGAGTTGTAGGAAGCGGTCCAGGGAAGGAGCAGTGAGGGCTGGGAGAGGAAAGTCCAGAACTGCTGGGTTGAAGGTCCCTGGGCTGGAAGGAACCTGGAGAAGAGGGTGGGCCCAGGTTCCCCTACCAGCTACTGGGAAAATGTCACCACTGGGACAGTGAATGGAAAGTCTGCCTAGGTCACTGTAGGAGTGACAGAGACTTTGAAGGATGGACCCCAGAAGCGGGGGCCACTGAGTGGCCTGGCTGGAGGGATGCGTCACGCAGCAACTCCTGGAGCAAGAAAGGGGCTGAAGACCTGAGAGAGAGACAGTGTGATGGCATGTGACCATGGGAAGGGGTGTCAATCTCAAGAGCTAATCTCCAGAGTGACCAGGAGGCGGCGCCACTAGCAGTGACTGGACCCTGTGACAAATCCTTTAATCATTTTCATGCCTCTTGTCTGAATCCTCTCCAATTTATCAACACCCTTCAGAACTGGACACAGGATCCCAGCAGCCGTCGCACCAGTGCCAAATACAGAGGTGAAATAACCTCTCTGCTCCTATGCGAGATTCCCCGGTTTATGCACCACAGGATCGCATTAGCTCTTTTGGCCACAGTGTCACACTGGGAACTCCTGTTCACCTGATTATTCTACACAACCTCCAAATCTTGTTCAGATTCCCTGCTTCCCAGAACAGAGTCCCCCAGCCTGTGTTCTTTGTCCCAGAGGTATACCTTTACATTTAACTGTATTAAAAAGTGTAGTGTTTGCTTGTGCCCAGTTTGCCAAGTGATCCAGATCTCTCTGAATCAGGGATCTGTCCTCTCCACTATTTACCACTCCCCCAGTTTGTGTGTCATCAAGGGAGTTTGGCACTGGTGGATGGTGCTGTCTCAGTAATCCTGAAAGTGGAGTCCTACCTCTGCAGAAACGAATGTGTCCCAGGTGGCAGCAATATAAGCCATATAAGTAACTAACTGGGGATGAGTCCTTATTAGTGCCTGCTCCCCAATCCTGAGTTCATAGAGGCTAAATTTCCAAGGAGTGATAACCATGCAGGTAACCAGGTATGTGACTACCATGCAGGGAGGCAAGGGTCCCAGGTACTGTACCTATTGTGGGTACGGGGCGTTACAGCGTTGTCATGGTGACAGGTGGCACGGAGACAAGCTGGTGTATGGAGTGGGGGGGATCCCTTGTAAAGTGTTCTGGGAATGAGATGGAGCTATGAATGTGCCCCCTGCATGAGGCAGTAAGAGATAAACAGCGTTACTAGGCTAGCACCTGGTGGGGTGTGAGGGACGGGTGTGGAGTCCCAGGGGTGAGAATAAACGCAGGGAAACTGGGATTGGTTTGAAATCCTGATTTGTATCTTCCTTGGTACCCAGGCACTAGGAACAGCCCAGCCCATCTAATTGTCTAACGGCGCCACGAACAGCCTTCACCTACCGGGAGAGTCGTACACACGGCCAACCTCAAGCTGTGGAGAGGGAAATGGAGCATGTTAGGGGATCTGCCCTAGGAGAACAATAACACCACCTGGCATTCCTCTAACACTCTCCCTCTTAGGATCCTCCAGTGCTTCAAACTGTGCAGCCCCCCTTCAGGTAACTAGGATCCCCGTACAGGTGGGGAAAGGGAGGCACAGAGCGGCAAAACGATGTCCCCAAACTTAACAGCAGAGCCTGGAATAGACCCTGGCCCGCTTGACTCCTTGTTCTGTACTTAAAAGCACAGCACAAGGCCATGCTGACGCTAAGGGCTTGTCTAGACGTATAATGCTGCAGCGTTTCACTGGTAGCGGCGCTGCTGTAGCACTTCATGAAGATGTGACTACACTGATTGGAGAATGTAGGCGGTAGCTATGGTGACAGGAGAAGCCCTCCCACTGACATAGCGCTGTCTACGCTGGGGGTTAGGTCAGTATAACTGCGTCGCTCCGGGGTGTGTTATACCGACATAAGTTGGTAGTGTAGATCCAGGCTATGGCGACCCTATGGCACAGCTGTACCAATGCAGCTGCATGCTGTAGTGCAGCTGCTCTAAGCCCAGAGGAGAGAGCTCTCCCGTTGACTTAATTACTCCAGCCCCATGCGCGACAGTAGCTATGTCCCCACCGGCTCTGAGGTCGGCGTAACTTATGTCACTCACGGGGTGACTCATTCACACCACTGAGTGACATCACTTATACCGATGTAAGTGATAGCGTGTACACAGACCAAGCCTAAGAGAAGCTAAATCAAAGGCAAAGTAGAGCTAAGCTGTTGTTCTCGTTCTGCTCATTCCTATTGTGACACGACGCTCCATATTCTTTACAGAACTATGCTTATGAGATGAATATGGCATAACTAAGATATACTTTGTGCAAGATGGCTCATGTGAGATCATTGGAAAGGTTCTGATTTACTGAATGTGATTATCCAAGTTGTGTGCCTGTATCATTTCTGTATCTGAAGTTAGGAATATTGACTATGGAACAATTACAAGTGTGTGTGTACAGATGCTCCCCGGGATATGCAAGACACGACTTATGCAAAATCGCACTTATGGAAAAAGTTCCATAAGCCAGAAATAGGATTTTTGAGTTGCGGAAGTTTTTGCGTAACGTACAGGTATACGTTTCCGACTCTCGCAAAATTCGAGTTATGCAAGGCTTTCCGGAACGGATCGATTGCATAAGTCGGGGGGCGACTGTACTTGGGGAAACGCCCACCAGACAGCAGGCAATCTTCCTGAATGAGCCATTTAAGAAGGACAATAGAACTCCGAAGATACTAATCTCCCACCTCCCTGAGGAGCTTCCTGGGATGCTGCATTGACACTACAAGGCCCGGTGATGTCACCTGATGAAAAATACCCCCTTAGACACGGTTGGTACTTTCCCACTGGAAACAAAGGCTTCCCGCCTTATGTCAATTCTATTTAAGGCTGGGAGGCAAGGCCATTGGGACTCTCCTCCATTGCCTACCCAAGAAGAAAGACTGCTGAAAGTACCTGAAGAGACAAAGGAACTGAGCTGTGGGAAAGGCAAGGGCTGAGTCCAGACTGAGACAGAGGAGACTAGTCTGTAAAGAGAAATAACTGGAACTCTGAGCAACAGAAACTCTGCATCCTGCCTAAGTCAACATTTAGGGTGAGAAATTACATTTTGTAACATGTTTCTTTAGCGAATCAAGCTTGGTTTGCGTGTTTTGTTTTATTTGCTTAGTAATCTGCTTTGTTCTGTTTGCTATCCCTTATAGTCACTTACAATCTGCCTTTTATAGTTAATAAACTTGGTTTATTATTAAACCCAGTTTGTGCAATTTCTAACTGGGGACAGGGGTAAGAAGTTGTGCATCTCTTCCTCCACGTTGAGGGAGGGGGCGAATTTATGAACTTACATTGTATAGATTTCTCTACAGCGCAAGACAATATTATCTGGGGGTTACCTCTTCACAGGGGGCGTGCACATGAGTGCTGGGTGAATCCTCTCATACACATCTGACTGCAGTCGTGTCTGCAGCTGGGTGTAGTCTTGCCTGGGTGTGTGCTGGAAAGGGGTTTGAGAGCCTGGCACAGCAACCCAGCACAAGGGAAACCCAGGCTGGCAGGGCCGGAGGGCTGAGTGGGACCCCAGCACATCAGGTGGCATCCCGGATTGGGGGGGTCTAACCCATCACACCTATCATGTGTGGAACTGGGAACTGGGATGGGGGAGTTGGACTGGCCCCAAAAGAAGATTTAATGAAAAATCTTGATGTTTCAACATTTGCTTCCATTCCGATGCAGAACAAAACTAAGACCTTGTGAACTGGGGAGAGGGACTGACCAGCCCATCCCAGAATGGCTAATAGCTGGCCGTCTAAGGCATTCCCTTCATTCAGGCTAGGGACTTGAACCTTAGGGCAGGTCTCGACTATGGGGCTAAGTCGACCTAAGTTACGCAACTCCAGCTACATGAATAACGTAGCTGGAGTTGACGTACCTTAGGTTGACTTATTGCGGTGTCTGCACCACGCTGGGTCGATGGGAGAAACTCTCCCGTTTATTTACCTTATTCTTCTCGTTCCTGTGGAGTACCGAAGTCGATGGGAGAGCGATCAGAATTAGTGGGTCTTCTCTAGACCCACTAAATCGACCCCTGGTGGATCGATCGCCATGTGTCGATCCCCTGGTAAGTGGAGACAAGCCCTTAGACTCATACATACCAGGCGTGCTCTAGACAAGTAGCTATTCTGGCAGTCTCTTGCTCTGGTTTTGATCAGAAATCCCATCCTGGACCTGAGAAACCTTTCTGGCAAAATTTTAGTCAAAATAGATGTGTTTCTGTGAAAACGTCCAGTTTCAGAAAACCAAGATTTTGTCAAAAAGTGCCTGACCAGCTTCAGTCAGCAGTAGTTGAGGTAATTCCTGGCTGCCTAGAAAAGTGGTGACTGACTAGGAAAGAGACAGACAAAAATCTAGGAACATACGTTACAGTGGACAAGACAGACAATTTCATCCCCACGTTACCATAATGTGCCAGAGGCAGGAGCAAGGTGAGGGGGAGAGTGTTCATAGGTAGAATTTTAATGAATGTCTGGAGTAAGGATAAGTTATTGACCCACTTGAGAACTGTAACCAGTTGTGGAGATCGCTACTCGGAGACAACAGATGATTCCTAAAGAGCCTCTTGGGAGCAGGGCTGGCCAGAAAACAAGAATCCCGTTTCACACATTTTCAAAGTTTTGGCCTTTGTTTTGTTTTGCACTGGGACAAGCAGAGCCCTTTGAAACCTTTCACAAAAAACCAGAGGGCATGAGTGCACACCACTAGAACAGCCCACTGGCTAGGGCACTCAGCTGCGATGGAGGAGAAAGTAGCTCAGGTCCCTGCTCTGCCTGATTCAGAGGAAGGACATGAAGGTGGGTCTCCCATACCCTAGGTGAGGGACCTAACCACCTGGCTATTGGCTATTCTGAGATGGGCTGGTCTCTCTCTCTCTCCCTCCCTCCCAGGACATTCTCAACCAGCTCTACTTGGGAGTGAGCATTGCCTGTATGCAGGTTCCCACATCCATGCATGCAACATCACCAGGAAAATATCTGCTGGCGTGGTCCAGTCACCTCGCTCTGCCAAGGTGATTACATCCACTGTCACTCACCTTGAACACTCCAATGATGGAATCCGCTCGCACCGCCCTTGAGTTCAGCACCTATCAAACAAACCCAAGACACTGGTTCACTGTTCCTTTGCTAGGAGGTGAAGCCCCCATCTTCACCCCCACCCAACTGAGGGACAGCATGATGGCTCTATTACCCACAATTCCCAGCTCTGCGGTGCTGACATGAAGGGTCTGTAGGCCTGATTCTTCAATGCCTGGCACCCGTCTCATCACTTACACCGGCGTAAAATGCTACACAATCAGAATTCTCCACGCACCTTGCACAGGAGAAATGACTGCATAAGGTGCAAAGCAGAGAAGAATTGGACTTCAAGTCTTGAAAGTCCTAAATAGCAACTAGGCTCTGTGAATATAAAGTTCATCGATTCATAAATCTAAAGGCCAGAAGGAACCATTGTGATCATCTTGTCCTGCAGAACACGGGCCACCGGACTTCCCGGCATTAATGCCTTCTTTGAGTCCAATAGCTGTGGTTGAAGTAGAGCAGATGTTTTTCTAAAACATCCAATCTCGATTTAAAAATGGTCAGCGATGGAGAATCCACCATGACCTTTGATAAGTTGTTCCAAAGGTTAATTACACTCGGGGTTAAAAATTTGTCCCTGTATTTACCTGGCTTCAACTTTCATCTGTTGGATTTTGTTATACCTTTGGCTGCTAGATTGAAGAGCTCTTTATTCTCGAATTTCATTTCCTCATGGGCAGGAACTTATAGACCGTGATCAAGTCACCGGATACATCACATGCCCCTTAACCTACCCTTTTGATAAGCGAAATAGATTGAGGTCCTGGAGTCTCTCACTATAAGGCAAGTTTTCTACTCCTTAAACATTCTTGTGGCTCTTCTCTGAACCTTCTCCAATTTACCAACATCTATTTTAAACTGCAGGACAAAAGTGGACATAGTATTCTAGTATTGGTCTCACTGATAAGAGAGATTTTGAGCTGCTCTATTTTCCTAAGCACTGAAAACATTGCTTTGCCATCATTAACTGAAAATAGGGGAAGAGCGAAAATAAAATGAACGAAATTGGAAAGGAATATGGTGGCAACAGTAGAGCTTAACATTAAGATGCATAAATTAACAATTGGATACATAGTGAAAGGGATGAGGTAATTGTTTACAGTTTAATAGTTTGGTAAAGTGTTGGCACATAGCCAAGGAGAGTGAGAAATCAGTTTCAATTTAGCCTATAGTGAGTATGTTGGCAGACAAGTGTAGCCTGGGGTAAAGGTCACTCCCCCTCTGCAGGGAGGGGTCAGTCCAAAACTAGGTGAGGGTCACCAGACCATAATAGTAAACAGACCATAATACTACGACTTGTTATGTAACAGCTTTGACCGACAGCCAGATTTAGCAGTTGTGATTGGACTACAAGTATGGACCAATCAGAGAGGGTTTAAAGGTGATTGGAAGATAGAGTATGCTCATATCAGGATTGAGAAACAAGCCAATCTGAAAGGGTCTAGTGGCTGGTAAAACTGAATAAAAGGCAGGCAGTCAGCAGGCAAAAGTCAGTCAAGATGGGGAACCAGGAGAAGATCAGATCAGAAGAAAGAAACCTAAAAGAGCAAAGAACAGCAGAGAAGAAGACCTGAAAGAAGCAGCAGCTGCTGCAGCAGCACCAGTGACAGAACAGAACAGAACGAGCCGTAGACAGAGCAGGGGGAGAGAAGCCTAAGGAGAGGAAGCATGCTAGTTACAGGATAGGATACAGGACAGAAATAGGATTAATGAGGGAGTATGTTTGCTATAATAAAGTTGGGTGCTGGGGTGTGTGTTTGTTACTATGTATAAAGTTTAGAGTTTATTCAGTGTTGCATAGGACTGATCACCATGTGCAGAACATAATCACCTAAGCCGTTCCAACAGTCTGACTTTACAGGGTACTTTAACTTGTATACCCTGTGCTGTAGGATGTGCTGATAATTTGTTTAACCTATGCAATTTATATCCAGTGCTTAATAGGGATTTAGATTTAACAATTCAATTATTGCTGAACCTGTTGTCAGTAATAATAAAAATATTTTTGTTTTGGAAAAATACTGCCTGTGTGTTAATCCTTTGAATAGAAGTCTGTATCTGTGTCCTCCCAGGGGTAAACAGATCAAGTCTATCCTGGGGAATTTCCTGAAGGGCATGGAGAGATCCTTGGTAAACCCTGAGAATTCTACTAGGGTGGGCCCCTCCTTTCACCTTGCTGGAACAGATTAATAGGTTAACATCTAGGGAACCCAGAAGTAAGCAACAGGAGAGCTACTCGGGGATCAATCTGTTCTTGGGGTAACAATTAATGGAGGTAAAACACCTCCGTACTCTCCTGTTTATGCACACAAGGATTGCATTAGCCCTTGGGGCCACAGCATGACACTGGAAGCTCACATTCAGCTGATTATCCACCACAAACCCCAAGTGTCACTGCTTCCAAGAACAGAGTCTCTCATCCTGTAAACATGGCCTCCATTTTGTTCCCAGATGGATACATTTATATTTAGCCATATTAAAACACCATTGTTAGCTTGCACACAGCTAACCAAGTGACCCAGATCGCTCTGTATCACTGACCTGTCCTCTTCATTACTTACCCGTCACCCAATTTTTGCGTCACCTGCAAACTTTATCAGTGATGATTTTGTTTTCTTTGAGGTCATTGATGAAAATGTTAAACAGCACAGGGCCAAAAATCCCACTAGCAATACACCCGCTTGATGATGATTCCCTTTTTACAATTACATTTTGAGACCTATCAGTTAGCCAGTTTTTAATCTACATAATGTGTGTCATGTTGATTTTGTGTCGTTCTAATTTCTTAAACAAAATATTGTGCAATAAAAAGTCAAATGCCTTACTACTGTCTAAGTATATTACATCAATCTTATTACCTTTATCAACAAAACTTGTAATCTCATCAAAAAAAGACATGAAATTAGTTTGACAGGATCTACTTTTGTGCTCACATCATCAGAAAGAACTCCAATTACACAGGAAAGCTCCTGGCCTTCTCCACTTTGACCCAATGATGTATTTACTTTGGGGCCAAGTCCTGGGGCCAAGGGCGGCTCTGTGTTTTTTGTCGCCCCAAGCATGGCAGGCAAGTGGCTTTTGGCGGCGTGCCTGCGGGCGGTCCACTGGTCATGCGGATTCGGCGGCATGCCTGTGGGAGGTCCACCGGTGCCGCGCCATTGGCGTTCCCACTACCAAATTGCTGCCAAAGCCGCGGGACCGGTGGACCTCCCGCAGGCATGCCGCCGAATCCGCGTGACCAGCGGACCGCCTGCAGGCGCGCTGCCGAAAGCCGCCTGCCTGCTGCCCTCACAGTGACCGGCTTGCTGCCCCAGGCACGCGCTTGCTGCGCTGGTGCCTGGAGCCGCCCCTGCCTGGGACCCCCTTGTGATAGAGGCCCCTTGGCAAACAGCCTGCTGTTCTTTGCAAACAACTCTCATCTCAGGCCTGACAAACTCACTACACCAAACACGACTTGCAGGGTATTTATCCATAAGGAGTAAAATGTAATGCATCTACAGAAAACTCACAACTTGTCAAGACTCATAATCATTATGAAATGTATGTACAGGAATACTTCAGGAATAATGTATTTCAGAAATAATGTAACTATATTGACGGTATGCTTTATGGACTTGGAGTAAAAGTTAGTCACCAGGGATAATGTGTCTCGGTGATGGTCCATTCTGGCAGGAGGGAGCTGTCACCCCTCCCAGGTTAGCCAGTGAGGTATGCAAGGTATCCAGCCTTGCTCCATCTCAAAACTATCAATGGAAAACCATCATAGATAACTCCAAACAGTTGAAACACTTGGCGGTGAAAAAGAGACATTACAACAGACAGAGGATCTCCCTGTCTGTGAATAGAGTCAAAAGACTGTTTCAGTATAATGCCTAGTGGGGAGAGGTCCTCTGTATCCATTCGCTGAGGAGACATCTTGGGGGGCAGGGGAGTTTTCAGGAAGGTTTGGATCCTGGTTCCAATCACCGACTGAACTTTTGGGGAAAACCTCCTTTATTAGCTAGGAAAGGGAACTGTTAATAAACATAGGTCCTAGTGCGCGGTTTATGATTTTGGTTTATATTGTGATCATTTGTTTCCACCGCTCTCTTGTTTCTAGTGGAATCTTTATTCTTTCTTAAATGAACTTTTTTGTTTTATTAGAAGTGCTCACAAGTGCTGTGCATTGTACAGGTGCAGTGATTTAAGGTCAAACTGGCAAACTGGGGCAGAAGTAGGGTGACCAGACGTCCCGATTTTGACGGGACAGTCCCGATTTTAGGGGACTTGTCCCACGTCCTGACCTTACATTTAAGGTCAAACTGGCAAACTGGGGCAGAACAGTTACAGGATTTGTGTGAGTAGCTGGTGTCAGGGGCTGGATGTCAGGAATACTTCAAAGGGACTTGGGGACTAGGGGCACCTCTTGTTAACCCACAAGGCAAAGACAGGGCTGGCCTAGCCCAGAGGAGAGGGCTTAAGTGTCTGAAAGGCTGGTGATTTCAGGAAGCTGTCACCCACCCACCATTGGCAAGGCTCCCTCATGCCGGAGGCAGGGGGTAATAAGATGATTCACTGTCACACAGTGAGTCACTGTGTCACAGGGTAGTTTTGCGAGGGAGTTTAGAGGGGGAGTATGTGTGTGTGTGCCTAGATACACTTAACATTCTTTAAACTTAAAGCCAAAAACACCCCCTGATAAAAACAAAACAACAACAAAGAAACATGCTTCAGATGTAAAAAGAGAATGCAGGCTGACGTCCATCAACAGAGTGGGGGCTACCCAGTTTATTGCAGCACGTATGATTACCTGCCCTATGGGCGGGTGGCGTATGTGTGCATTCGGTGCAAGGAGCCCCTGGCCCTCGCAGACCATGTACGGGCTTTGGAGACCAGAGTGGCTGAACTGGAGGAGCTAAGGGAGTCAGAGAGGTACACAGATGAGACTTTCCGGGACTCAGTAGAATGGCCCCACCCCCGGTCTGACAGCCTCTGTGCTGTTGAGGAGGATGAAAGTCTCAAGGAAGGAGAACATCCAACTGGAGCAGACAGAAACGATCCCATAGTTGGAACCCTCCTTCCAGATGATGTTGGGGTATCCTCTCACACTGAGGATAGCTCTTCAGGGGAGGGAACTCCAATTATTAGGAAGAGACAGGTAATAGTTATGGGGGATTCGATCATTAGAAACATAGATAGTTGGGTTTGCGATGACCAAGAGAACCGCATGGTGACTTGCCTGCTTGGTGTGAAGGTTGCGGATCTCTCGAGACATCTAGACAGACTTATGTGTAGTGCTGGGGAGGAGCCAGTGGTCGTGGTACATGTAGGTACCAATGACATAGGGAAGGGTAGGAGAGAGGCCCTGGAGGCCAAATTTAGGCTGCTAGGTCAGAGATTGACATCCAAATTAAAAAGGTCGTAGAGTGGTTTTTAAACTAAGGCTGGGGGAAAGCTGACAGGTGCGTAGGAGCATGTGGTTTGAACAGAGACATCCCTTAGGGGAGGATCTATTAATGGAGATTCTCTATGTCCTAGTAAGGAGGAGAGGAGGAAGATGATAAAATACAGGTAGGATCTGATGAGAAACAGTCAAATGAAAAAAAGTCCCAATCAATTAGATCATGTAATGGCAGACAGCTAAAAAGTGATAAGTTTTTAAAGTACCTATATACAAATGCTAGAAGTCTAAATAATAAGATGGGTGAACTAGAGTGCCTCATATTAAATGAGGATATTGATGTAATAGGCATCACAGAAACTTGGTGGAATGAGAAAAATGAATGGGACACAGTAATACCAGGGTACAAAATATATCGGAAGGACAGAACAGGTTGTAGTGGTGGGGGAGGGGCACTATATGTGAAAGAAAGCGTAGAATCAAATGAAGTAAAAATCTTAAATGAACCAAATTGTACCACAGAATCTCTATGGATAGTAATTCAATGCTCAAATAATAATAATATATCAGTAGGGATATATGACCGATGACCTGACCAAGATGGTGATAGTGACTGTGAAATGCTCAAGGAGATTAGAGAGGCTATAAAAATTAGATTAGAGAAGCAGTGAGAGACAAAAAGGCATCCTTTAAAAGTGGAAGTTAAATCCTAGTGAGGAAAATAGAAAGGAGCATAAACTCTGGCCAATGAAGTGTAAAAATATAATTAGAAAGACCAAAAAAGATTGTGAAGAACAGCTAGCCAAAGACTCAAAAAGTAATAGAAATTTTTTTTTTAAAGTACATCAGAAGCAGGAAGCTGCTAAACAACCAGTGGGGCCACTGGACAATCGAGATGCTAAAGGAGCACTCAAGGACGATAAGGCCATGGCAGAGAAACTAAATGAATTCTTTGCATCAGTCTTCATGGCTGAGGATGTGAGGAAGATTCCCAAACCTGAGTGTAGCAGATCTCGAAGACTCACCGGTGTGGCACCTCCTGCTGGTCATCTGGGAATTAGCTCTTTTCCAGGCTCAGAGCGCCCTCTGCTGGCCAGTGTCTCACCTGCCTCAGTCCCTGTGTCCCTCCTGGACCCCGGTACCCTTTTATCTCGGGGTTCTGAGACCAGCAGGTTTAAAACGAACAAAAGGAAGTATTTCTGCACACAACACACCATCAACCTGTGGAACTCCTTGCCAGGGGAGGTTGTGAAGGCCAAGACTATAACAGGGTGCAAAAAAGAACTAGATAAGCTTATGGAGGGTAGGTCCATCAATGGCTATTAGCCAGGATGGGCAGGGATGGTGTCCCTAGCCTCTGTTTGCCAGAACCTGGGAATGAGTGACAGGGAATGGATGATTTGATGATTACCTGTTCTGTTCATTCCCTGTGAGGCACCTGGCATTGGCCACTGTCAGAAGACACGATACTGGGCTAGATGGATCTTTGGTCTGACCCAATATGGCTGTTCTTATGTTCACCTCAAGAACAGTTCACCCCTCCAAGGGTCAAATAAGAGAAGATTTTTCATGAGTCACTGGTATGTTTTGTTGTGGCCCCCTGGGTACCTTGATCACTCAGATGTTGCTCCTGGCTCCAGTCTCACACCGGTGTCACTTGGGAGTAAACCCATTTAAATCGATGCTAGGATACTGTGTCCAATGGACATGCTGGCTGCTCTCTGTTTCCCCGGCACATCACGTCTGATTCACTCTTTCACAGATTTCAGGGCCAGAAGGGATCATTAGGTCTTCTAGTCTCTGTTATGCAGTGCTAAGTCATATGCCTTACTGTAGCGGGGTGGTCGCCCACTCCAGCCCTGGAAGGGTTAAAGCCAGCTCTGGGAGAGGGCTGAGGCTGGGAAGGAAAGCCTGGGCTGATTGGGGAAGGCAGTAACTGCTGGGGCCATGCCCCAATCAGGCCCAGCTGGTCCCTATAAGGCCTGGTCTACACTACGACTTTAATTCGGATTTAGCTGCGTTAATCCGAATTAACCCTTCACCCGTCCACACTACAGAGCCAGTTAATTCGAATTAAAGGGCGCTTTAAATCGATTTCTGTACTCCACCTCGACGAACGGAGTAGCGTCAAAATCGATTTTGTTAATTCGAATTAGGGTTAGTGTGGCCGCACACCACCGAATTAATGTGATTAAAATAAATGGGGTAGTGTGGCCGCACACCACCGAATTAATGTGGTTAAAAACCGAATTAATGTGCTTAGTGTGGCCGTGCACAATCGAATTTATACAACCTGTTTCCCAAATTCGAATTATCTAAATTCGGATTAATCCTGTAGTGTAGACATATGAGGCTGTGAGCCAGAAGCCCAAACAGTCTCTCTCTGCTGGTAGAGAGAGAAGGGCCTGGCTGCCTGGGAGCCGACCAGGGTACCTGGAGTGGAGCAGGGCTGGGGGAAGGCTAGAGGAGCTGGGGAGCTCCAGCCTGGAAAACCCCCAGGCTGCGGGCCTAGCAGAGGTCCTAAGGCAAGTACTGGGGTTGCAAAGGGGGAGCCCAGCAATAGGTAGAGACAGCAGGTCCAGACCCAACCTTGCCTATGATGAGTGGCTGACACTGCAGTCTGCCCCAGGGCGCGGGGGTGAGTTGAGGACTGGCAGTAGCCTACGACTGAGGCGAGGTGGGGGTAGTGGGTGGGGGTTCCCCTGAGTGGGGAGACCTGGAGAAACAGTGGGGGTACTGCCAGGGGGCAGCACCCACTGAAAGGGTCACCCGGGAGGGACATGGGGGCCCAGCGGTAGCGCGACACCGGCCGACAGGGGGTGCTCCGAAGGCTGGAAGCTAATTCCCCGAGACAACCTGCAGGAGGCGCCGCCGGGTGAGTCTGCGCCTGATTACACTTACCAAAGGCTAAGTCTATTACATCTACTCAGTTACTTTTACCCACCAACGTGTAACCTCGACAAAGCAAGAAACCAGGTTTGTTTGACAAGCCCTGTTTTCCATAAAACCATGTTGACCAGTATTTATTATATTCCCAGCCTTTAATTCTTTATCAGTTGACTCCCAAATCGGCTTTTCCTTTATTTTCCATCCAAGATTGATGTCAGGCTAACTGGCCTATAGTTACCCTGGTCCTCCCACTTACTCTTTTTGGGTACATCTACACTGCAAAAACACCCCACAGCAGTGACTCTCGGAGCCTGGATCTACACACTCTGAATTGCTGGACTTGTGCTACGGTCTAAAACCAGTTGTGGAGACGTTCCCAAATGGGCTGGAGCCCAGGGCAGAAGGTGGGCTTCAGAGCCCAAGTGGGAACATCTTTGTGACTATTTTTAGTGCCATAGTGCGAGCCCTGTGAGCTTGAGGCTGGAAACCTGGGCTCTGAGACATGCTGCCACGGATTTTTCGCAGGATAGACATAACTTTTGAATGCTGGCACAACATTAGCACTCTTCCAGTTTTCTGGAATTTCTTGAATACAACTGAAGTGTTGTCTGTGGAATTCAGCACCACAAAAACAGCCTATTGTGGGGGCAAGATTTTACTTCCTGTCCTTAGATGGAGTTGGCTTGGGGCAATATGTTTAGTCTCATCTCAGGACAAAAAACCCTTGTTAATCTATAGTTGCTTTGACCCACTCCACCCTTGTACCAAGACTCATGTTCAGTGTCCCGTGATAGCCATGTATGGACCATGGTTAATTCTTATGCAGTCAGAAGACACCACTGAGCATGCTCAGGAAATGCATAGTAATGGCCCACTAACACTGACTGACATCAAGTTTAGCCCATCAGCAAACAGACTCAACACCAACTGTTAGAAGAAAAGAGTTAGAGGGCAGGGTGTTTCAAGGTTCTCCAGTGCCAAGAGAGTAAAAGGGGGGACTCAGGTCAACCAGGTAGAAGAGAAGTGATGTGAGGTGTCTCCTGCCCTTCATCTGGCCTATACCTGGAGTAGCAGGGAAGGTCCTGCCAGTGAGCTGTGAGATGCAAGAAGCCAGCTCCAGAGGTAGAGGGGTTCTAGTCTCACTATCGTACCTGTATGTTTATGGTCTCGTCAAAGAGCTGAGTAGGCGTCTCATGGAAGTTCTGGAAAAATATCTGAGAAAAACGGAGAGGTAAATTTAGCGCAGTCCCAAACCTGCCTGCGCTCTCTGGGGAGCTCAGGATTTCGCTCACATGCAGCCAGGGTTGTCAATTTTGGTTGGATGTATTCACAGAGGTTTCATCACATGACATAATCTTATACTCCAGGACATAATCCAGACTCCAGGATTTAGTTGGGGATTGGTCCTGCTTTGAGCAGGGGGTTGGACTAGATACCTCCTGAGGTCCCTTCCAACCCTGATATTCTATGAATCCTGGAGGGTTGGCAAACCTACATGCACCACCCCATACTAGTCCCCTCAGGAGTCCAGTCCAGACACTGCCCTGGGGAGGGAAACTATAACTCACAGGGATGGCTGCATCCCTCCTCAATCTCGCCTCCAACTCCCTCAATAACTGGTGCCCTGGGACCATCCTATGTTGAATTTGGAATTGGCTCACAGACTAGAGGGCCCTCTCCAGCACAGGCTTGATAAGTCCACAAAAGCAGGCGTGGAACCACATGATGCCCACCCACCTCATTAAAATAGGGGTTGTTCCCCGTTTTGATTCTCGTCCTGTACACGTGGTCTCCGATGAAGACCTTCACCACGGGCTTGATGTTGTTTCCCTGGAGCTGGCGGCCTTCAATGATCCTCACACGCACCTGCAGTGAGAAATACAGCAGTATGATTTAAAGGGTCTCAGGGCAGGGATGTTCTGTTAGCCCAGCTGGGCTCCACTGCTGGAAGTGGTCCCAACGCCACCCTGACCTGAGGCGCCATTGAAGGCGGGACATGCCAATGACAAAGCAACCCCAGAATAATAATATCCATTTCTGTTATTTCCCAAGGCATCAGCTCCATCCAAGGTAGCAGGATGAAGCCCATGGATGAAGGAACATAGAGCTGGGATCCTCATATCCTACTACGGAGAGGGAACTAATTCTGGCACACTAGGTCTATCGCTGTGGGAAAAGGACGGACTTGGCCATTGAGACCCATGTACTGACCACCTTTACCATTGGGCCTGGGCTATATTGGGGGGGAATTTCTCCTTGACGAAGCTCATCTTGCCACGGTTCACAATACCTGGAAGTCCTGTTTTTTGTCTGCGAGTTCTCTTCTGGAATTTATTCTGCCGCTGATTCCTTCCCTCTGATGATCCTTTCCTGTGATACTCCGGATGGCTGTGGTGACCCCACTGTGTGCCCCTGGAGAGGGTCAGAAAGGGAATGGATTGGCCTGGGGTGGATGACCTGGAAGAATAATCCTTTCCCACAGAGCAAGTCAGAACAAACATTCTCTGCTCCTCCTTTGGCAGCTTTGTCAAGGATGGTGTCAGACATGGGAGCTTTAATTTCACTGGTTTGACACAGAGTGTTCAGGGTCAAAGCAGTTAAGTGAGAATCTGGGACACAGACCATTGGATGTGAGGCGCCTAAGAGCATGTCCCATTATAAATGCCCCATTACATGCAGTCTGCATGATCTCAATACACACGTACCACATTGTGCCAATGGTGGGGTGAGCTCTGATCTTCACAGGGATCAATTGTGAGTCCTGCTGTGCACCTGCACAGATGGGTAAGGGCTAAAAGGAGATCCCGTAAATCCCTGAGCAGGCTGCCCATGTTGCTGGAGGCTGCGCAGGGGGTCAGGGGCTGCATCTGGGCTGGGCAGGGGGAGGACTGAATGAGCCTGGGCACTGCTCCTCACAATTCGTCAGTTCCAAGGCTAGAAGGGACAACTGTGATCATCTCATCTGACTCCTGTATCGCACAGGCCAGAGACCTGCCCCACAATAACCCCTAGCACAGGTCTGAGAGAAAAACAGCCAGTGATGGAAAATCCACCATGACCTTTGGTAAGTTTTTTTTCCCAATGGTTAATTACTATTGCTGTTAAAAATGTATGTCTTATTTCCAGTCTGAATTTGTCTAGCTTAACCTCCTAGCCATTGGACTGTGTTAGATCTTTCTCCGCTAGACTGAAGAGCCCAGTATTTAATATTTGTTCCCTAGGTAGATACTGACAGACTGTGATCAAGTCACCTCTTAACCTTCTTTTTGTTAAACTAAATAGACGGAGCTCCTTGAGTCTATCACGATAAGGCAGGTTTTCTAATCCATTGATCATTCTTATGGCTCTTCTATGAATCCTCTCCAATTTATCAACATCTTTCCTGAATTGAGGGCACCAGAACTGGACAAAGTATTCCAGCAGAGGTCGCACCAGTGCCAAATACAGAGATAAAATAACCTCTTGACTCCTACTCAAGATTCTACTTTTTACGCGTCCAATGATCACATTAGCCATTTTGGCCACAGCATTTTCCTGGGACCTTATGCATGGCCCCCCAGTTATTTTTAGTCACTGTTTCCCAGGATGGAGTCCCCCTGTGCTGTAAGTATGGCCTACATTTTTTGTTTTATATTTAGCCATATTAAAACACATATTGTTTGCTTGTGCCCAGTTTACCAAGTGTATCCAGATCACTCTGTATCAGTGACCGGTTCCTCTTCACTTTTTATCACTCCCCCAATTCTTGTGTCATCTGCAAACTTTATCAGGGATGATTTTAGGTTTTCTCCCAAGTCATTGATAAAAATGTTAAATAGCGTAGGGCCAAGAACAGATCCCTGCAGAACCCCACTAGAAACACACCTGCTTGATGAGAATTGCTTGTGTACAATTATATCTTGAGACCGATCAGTTAGCGAGCTTTACATCCATTTAATGTGTCCCATGTTAATTTTATATCGTTCCCATCATAAAATTATATAAAGTTAGTTTGACAGGATGTATTTTCCATAAACCCATGTTGATTGGCACTAATTATATCACCCTCCTTTAATTATTTATTGTCCCATATCAGCTGCTCTATTACCTTGCCCAGGATCGATGTCAGACTGACAGGCCCATAATTACCCAGGTCATCCCATTCACTGTTTTTAAAACTTGGCACAATATGAGCCTTTTTCCAGATTTCTGGAACTTCCCCAGTATTGCAAGACTCATTGAAAAATCAACATTAACAGTCCAGTGAGCTCCTAAGACAGCTCTTTAAAAACTCTTGGATGCAAGTTATCCGGAGTTGCTGATTTAAAAATGTCTAATTTGTTTGGTTCCGTTTAACATCCTCATGGCATACTAGTAGAATGGAAAGCGTGTTATCATCACCATGTGAAGAAATTACATCCCAAATACGTTTTTATTTTGTCCCCAATGCATGCCAGAAATATTTATTGAACACGTCTGCCTTTTCTGCTTCATTACTTATAATTCTACCATTTCCACTGAATAATGGACCAATACCATTGTCAGGATTCTTTTTGTTGCTAATATTCTTAAAAATCTCCTTTTTATTGTCCTTCACTCTGCTCGCCATAGATTTCTCCTTCTTCCCTTTGCTTTCCTTTACAATTTTCTACAATTAATAGCTTCTGATTTATATTCATTCCTATCAACTTCCCCTGTCTTCCATTTGTTATGTATATATTTTTTATTTTTCATATCCACCTTCACTTCTCCTCTAAATCAGGTTGTTTTTTTTTAAACTGGTATGGCCTTCTTTCCTGGTTGTGGGATTGTGGCTTTTGGGACATCTGTTACAGTGTTCTTAAACAATTTCCAATGATGTTTCATATTTTCCTGATTAAATTCTTCCTCCCAGATTATTTGGATCATAATTGTTTTCAGTTTTGTGACTTTGGCTCTTTTTAAAGCACCAAGTATCTATCTATCTATCTATCTAGTCAGGACTTTATTCTGTTTGCACATTATATAGGTGATCAAATCATGATCCTCTCTACCTAAGCTACCATTAATTTTTAGTCCTATGATCAGTTCCTCTTTATCTGTTAAGATGAGGTCTAATATAGAATTCCTCCATGTTGGATGCCACACTTTTAGATTTAGGAAATTGCCATCTATAATATTTAGAAATTCCAGGGATGTTCTGGTACTGGCAGCATGAGACGTTCAACAGGTATCACTCAAACTGAATTCCTGCCCACTGTGTCAGCCCATGTCCAAGTGCTAGTGCAGAGAGGGAAGCAAGCTATGTTAGCCAAAGGGCTGCTACTTCACTTCCCCATGGGAGCAAGGGGGAAGTAGGGACTAGACCATGATTCCCGAAGTCAGTGTGGCCCCAGCCCACAGAGATTAGAGTTGGCAAAGGACCTATCCAATCACCTTGCCCATCCTCTCCTGAGCCAGGTGGTGCTGTCCCATGTGGCTCATTCTCCAGGGCTTTGTCCAGTTCAGTTTTACATGACGCAAGTGATGGGGCCTCTACCACTTCTCTTAGGAGATGATTCCACATGGCACAGGGAGGAAATGGGCATCATAATGGTCTCTGGAACTAGTGGGAACGGTCACATACTCATCATGGGGTGGGGATGTGTGAGATGGAGTCAGGTTGGGAGTACTTTTCCCCTCCCCCCCATGCTTTTCCCCTCACAAGAAACCAAGGCCAAGTTGATCTGGAAAATGTAAACTTGATAAATTACATTTACAGCACAGGAAGGTCCTATCAGCAGATGCTCACTTACCTTCACCACTGGCTTTTTGTTTTCCTGGCTCCCCTATGGCCTTGAGTCCTGGAGGGGTGTAGGAGGCACTTACATTGGTGGTACACTGAAATTCAACAACAAATAGAATTAAACCACCTCCATTGGTTTGGGTGTAGGTGGGGTGACACTATTCAAGGCCCAAGAGCAGAGGGTACCCTCCCAGAGTTCATTCCAGAGTTGCATACACATCCCATGCAGGCTCTGTTTGTTTCCAATACGGTAATGGCCCCGAACACTATGCGTTACTCTATGGGTATGTCTACACTACGAGAGTAGTTCGATTTTAGTTAAATCGAATATGTGCAATCGATATTAGAAAGTCGAACGTGTGTGTCCACACTAAGGACAGTAATTCGACTTTGTCAGTCCACACTACCAGGGAAAGCGTCGACATTGGAAGCAGTGCACTGTGGGCAGCTATCCCACAGTTCCCGCAGTCCCCGCTGCCCATTGGAATTCTGGGTCGAGCCCCCAATGCCTTCTGGGTAAAAAAATGTGGCGAGGGTGCTTTTGGGTAACTGTCGTCATCCGTCAGTCACTACCGCCCTCCCTCCCTCCCTGAAAGCGCCGGCGGGAAATCAGTTCGTGCACTTTTAGATCAGTGACAGCGCGGACGCCACAGCACTGCGATCATGGATCCCGCTGCGACCATCGCTGCAGTTGTGGCCGTTCTCAACGCCTCGCAGCTTATCATACACCTTTCCCAGAGGCAGATGCAGAGAAATCAGGCGAGGAGGCTACGGCACCGCCGTGAGGGCCTGAAGTCGGAGAGTAGCACAGAGCTGTCAGAAACCACGAGCCCCAGCGCCCAGGACATCACGGTGGCAATGGGGCATGTGGATTTTGTTGAACGGCGATTCTGGGCCCGGGAAACAAGCACGGACTGGTGGGACCGCATAGTGCTTCAGGTCTGGGATGAATCCCAGTGGCTGCGAAACTTTCGCATGCGGAAGGGGACTTTCCTGGAACTTTGTGACTTGCTGTCCCCTGCCCTGAAGCGCAAGGACACCCGCATGCGAGCAGCCCTGACTGTCCAGAAGCGAGTGGCCATAGCCCTCTGGAAGCTTGCAACGCCGGACAGCTACCGGTCAGTCGCGAACCACTTTGGCGTGGGCAAATCTACCGTGGGGGTTGTTGTCCTGCAAGTAGCCAAGGCAATCGTCAAGGTACTGCTGTCAAAGGTAGTGACCCTGGGAAACGCGCAGGCCATCATAGATGGCTTCGCCGCGATGGGATTCCCAAACTGCGGTGGGGCTATAGATGGGACTCACATCCCTATCCTGGGACCGGGCCACCAGGCCAGCCAGTACATCAACCGAAAGGGCTACTTTTCAATGGTGCTGCAAGCACTGGTGGACCATCGGGGACGGTTTACAAACATCTACGTCGGATGGCCGGGCAAGGTTCATGACGCTCGCGTGTTCAGGAACTCTGGTCTGTTTAGACGGCTGCAGGAAGGTATTTACTTCCCGGACCACAAGATAACTGTTGGGGATGTGGAGATGCCTACAGTGATCCTCGGGGACCCAGCCTACCCACTAATGCCCTGGCTCATGAAGCCCTATACTGGCGCCCTGGACACTGAAAAAGAACTCTTCAACTACCGGCTGAGCAAGTGCAGAATGGTGGTGGAGTGTGCTTTTGGCCGTCTCAAGGGGAGATGGAGAAGCTTACTGACTCGCTGTGATCTCAGCGAAACCAATATCCCCATCGTTATTGCAGCTTGCTGTGTGCTCCACAATCTGTGTGAGAGCAAGGGGGAGACCTTTATGGCGGGGTGGGAGGTTGAGGCAAATAGCCTGGCTGCTGATTACGCCCAGCCAGACAGCCGGGCGATTAGAAGAGCCCAGCGGGACGCGCTGTGCATACGGGAGGCTTTGAAAGCCAGTTTCAAGGCTGAGCAGGGTACCCAGTGACTTTTAAGTTTGTGGACACA